CACACTGCTTGAGCACTCAACTGCGGTCGGACATGTACACTTCGAGTTGCCATTGCAGAAATAACTTGACACGTGCTTCAGTCAAGACTTTGAAGTCACCATGTGTCAGACTAGTTCCTCACAGGATTTGTTCGACCGAATCTTCACTGCTTCAGCAAAGGGTTGTCAAAACCTAGTTCTGGCACTCCGTTCATATCCTATCATGGGTCAACAAAGAATGCCAAGTAGTTGCAAACACACATCTGGCAAAGAAGTTGCATAAGTCATAAGGCAAGTTCTACGGCCAAAATGCCTACGGGGTGCTCACGCCCACAAGCTGAATGCCTACGCGATTTTGTGAGGTCAATGGTTGCAATTGCATAGAGCCTTTCATCTCACAAAAACGCAGCCAAAATTTTGCAATTGTGCTGACGCGCTGTTCTGTTGACATTATCATGGCGTCATGCTCACGTGTCATTATGTTGGCATGTTGTCATGTGGATATCTTGTCATGCCGTCAGGCTACCATGCTCATGGTGCGCGCAGTCATGTTGATATCATATGCTGGCTGGCATGTTGTCAAGCCGGCATGTTGTCACGCTGACATGCTGACACGGGTCACGCTCACATGCTGACACGTTTTCACACTGAGATGCTGACATCGGTTCATGCTGTATGTGGGCACATGTTCCGTGTTGTGCTGAGTGCATGGAACGTTGAGAAGGCTCACATATTTCCAAGCAGCATTGTCTGGCAAAAGCACATCACTTGCCGACGAAGTTGCGCTGTTGTTGCCATTGCCGCATATGGGCGGATGGTGCCCAGCTGTTGGTCATATTTTTCTCCGGCTTATTCAGTGTTTATGTTTCTGAGGCTGAGGTGGGTCACCCTTTGTGCGTACTGTAAACCCCAAGCACTGCGCGGAGGACTGCAACCTACAATATATATACACGGTAGGTATTCTAAACATATAGTTATAGAAGAATCTGGTCTTGACTGATGCTGACCACTCATCCCTGGCACCAGTCTCAGGCTGGAGCTCCAGAAGCAGCAAGCGACCCGTCTTAGGTGGGAAAAACTTCACCTCGGAGTGTTTCGGGGTGAAACTAAACCCTGTGCTACACACCATTGTTTAAAAGCTTTAGCCTCCACAAACGCAAGACACCCGTGAGCTTTGAAATCGAGTAGCGGATTCAAGGGCAGGATCCCTAGGGCCCTGGCAGGAGCCTGCAATCTTTCGTTTTATTCATGGTTTTTCAGGCCCCTTGAGCCCCTGAGGGTTGTCTTGCCCTTCAGGCAGCTGAGGGTCGTCTCTGTTAGTTCCATTCCCAGGGTGGTTGATTGCTGTGGAAGCATTCTGGTCACTTTTTGGGTGCCTCCAGGAACAGCCTCTCTGCAAAAGGAAAGGCAGTTGAGCATTCGCCCCTGAAAAGGAGATGTCCCAACCAGCCCATCACCTCTTAGTCTTGGCCCCCAACTGCCTCTTCCAAAGATCTGGACAGGAAGGCATCCTACCAAACCCCAAGCGTGTTGCCTAGTCATTGTATCAGCATGTTTTGGCTGTGTGAACCACATCCCCCAATATTCTCCATCACATTCCATCACCATGCATGTGCATTTCCTCTGTGTCAAGAGATTCGTCTGTATCTTCCTCAGCCTTCACATCTTCGAATGTAGCACCATTGAGGATGACATCCTGAGCACCATCGACCCTGTCCCATGGAAAACTCGAAGCAACTGCTGGATGGCAGCGCCATCTTCTTGCGACTCGGATGCCAACCTCCAGCGATGGGATGTTTGGGCAAGCTTTGTGGTGCAAGCACCTCGCAGCCATCGAGCAAGCCACAACAGTAGAAGCCTGCCAAACTGAGATGGCCACTCAAAGTTGCGAAGGTTGTACAATGACCTAGCGGCCAAGTCCAGGAAAACTAGCAAGAAGCTCATTGTAGAGCCAAAATTGGTCAACATCTGCAAGAGCCTTCAGGGCCAAGGAAGGATTATGCACATGCTACACAAAAATGCACAAAACATCGGCATTGCTTGGGGTACAAACAGACCAACGTGCTTCTCTTCCATCCAGACCAACGTGCGGCAACCTTGAGTGCCCGACTCCATCCATTCGACGGGTTCTCGAACCAGGATGATCAAGCGAAGACCGGGAATCTGGACCAAAACGATCAAGAACCAATTCGTTTTGAATGATCCTGATGCCCTGCACTCAGAACTGGCTACAGTGTTATCTGTAGCACAAATGTTCTCAAACATGCTCCCTAAAATCATCGGCCTTGGAAGCCAAACGTAGGACACGCCCACCTCAGCAGCGCGGCACCATAATGGCACCATCACCAAACCCCCGATGGCCATGCTGGGCCCATGGCTCAAGGCAACCCCTTCGCCTGTGAACGAGGATCGGTCCGACGGTCCCCACGAGCGCCAAACGATGGTCGTTTGGGGGACCATTGGAGTCCTCTGACCTCCGCCGACCAACAGGGGTTCTGCCGACCACATCTGCCCACCACGCCTTTGCCACCGAGGCACCTCGAACGGGACGAGGCGCACACACTTTGCTGTCGTGTCATGCGTTGATACAGAGCAGGAGGAGCCGAAGTTTTCTGTGATGACATGCCAAATCATGCAAATGGATAATGATATATAGGTGATCAATGAGAACAGGAGGATGACCCTGCCACTCACTCTAAAACGTTCTATATTATGTGATTGGCAGGCTTGCCTCCCTTCGACCTGCTCCCCGAAGCTTGACATATAGTTCCAAACCTATCAGTGCTGGGCATGCTTCCCGCATCAGGCCCAAGTCCAAAACCTTCTTCACGTGCTTTCAGCCATTCTTTGGACACTTGTTTGATTTGGTGTTCAGCATTGCAAATATCCTTCTGAAAACATTGTGCCTTGAGCTCTTCTACCGAAACTCAATACTGATTTGCCGCTGCTCTGGTCATACCAATTCATACCTAGCCTATCCTGCATATCACTCTTGTCCTTTTCCAACAGTTAACACGCACCGGCCCAACCCAGCGTCGCCGACGTCGCCTGTATCTGTTGTGGACGGGCTGGCCAGTTAAAGGTCAATTCGTCCCTGGAGACCATCACCTCAAAGTGATGAATGAGTTTGGCGATGATGAAGCGATGGCCTCCACCCTAGTAACGATGACCTCCAACCTACTTGCGATGGCCTCCACCTAGTAGTGTCCTTGTAACAATGGCGAACATAAAGCTTTAATCCTCCACGAAAAAAACCGTTTGACCTCATGGTGGAGTAAAATTGGGGTGTTCCATTCCATTCCCGGGATGCGACCGTATGAATCTTTTGTTGAGAGTAGCGAGTAGTTGATCAGAATTCTTGAGAATCAGAAGTAGAGCCACTATCAGTAGCACTTAGATCGGCAAAACATGACACTGATACTACAACCATCTATGGTGCCCTACCAGTGCCATCTGGTGCCCTCTGGTGTGTGAACACATCCCGGCTCCCACCTCTGGATGCTCGATCAAGTTCCCACCTGGGCAATGAGTTTTCCATGGAGCGTTCTAACAGCGAGTGTTCCATCGCAATCCTCGTTCTATCGATACGGATCTTTTCAATTAAGCCCTTCAACTGCTTCCGTATCTTTCTCCCGACCTTTGAGGCTTGGGCGAACCGAATGCGTCCCAGAGCGAGCGAAGCCAGCAATAAGGAAGTTCAGCTTGGCATCTTCCCATCCTTGCTTAATGCACACCTAGGGTCACCTAGGCCTTCATGTCCTTCCGTGATGCTTCAGCAAAGGGAGGCAAACAAAGCAGCAGGATGAAGGTGATGGTGAACCCTCTCCATAGTCATGAGGTGTTGGAAGTCTGGCCAATGTCCACAGGGCAAGCCTCACTCTCTTCCTCCCTCGCTCTCTCCCTTGCATAAATATCCTCTTTCACCGATCAGCATTCTCAAAGTGTTGTGGCAGCTCCGAAGTCGCAGCTTGAACCTGTACAAAGAAGCTGCAAGGCAGCTGGGAGGCAAACTGCCATCCCAGCAGCGTTCTGGTACGAATTTTCAGCCTTATCAATGGGTTCCAGGATGAAATGAAGCCCAAACCGGCTTTCACCTGCAGTTTTTGGCAGTTGCAAAGGCTAACTTGGTATTGAGTTGAAGTTGCTTCTGATTATCCGATTGGACTCTAAGTGATGTGTGCCAAGTGGAAGCCGGTCAATCCTTTATGCAAAACTCCGGTGGTTAAGTAAATTCATACTTGCTACTAGTAACAAGTGCATCGCCACAAGCAACAAGGGCATTACTACTAGTCACAAGAAGCTTGCACTTGTTACTGCAATTCAGGCATAAGTAAATTCATACTGAATGCCGTCATGTGGCGAAGCATACATCCTGGTCCATTCCCGCGCCTGCCGCAATCATCCCAGTCTACCATGAACACGCACATATGGAAAGGATAAATTCTGTAGTTGGGCATCGTTGAAGTGATTCTCTGCTATGCAAATGGCTGTGCTCTGACTTTCTTGGCGTCAGGAAAACCATGAATGAACTATGCCAAGACCACCCTGAAAAGGCGCAGGCGCAAAGCACCACAGCAGCCAAACAAATCCACACAAGGCAAATTCATGCAAATCTGGCAGCAATGACTCTACTGACTACAGTACCGATTCAACTGCAGCAATGCCAATCGCTCTTGCAAACTTTATTTGCGGCCTTCTGATTGAATGCATCCCATGACTCTCGCAGTTGCATCATAGCATCCGAATTTTCGCAGCCACCATCGGATGGAGCCTGAGCCATGGGATGTTCACCACTCACACCACACACTGAACCGGCGCACACGCACAGGCACACACACAAAGTTCATACGGTACATGTTCATACTCACAAGAGTTCCAAAGAAATCAGCCCATGTGTGACTGTATGCTTGTCGTGGACTCAAAGGGTTTGTACGGCCGTGCAGGTCTCAATTCTTCTATCTTCCCGTCTACCTACAAAGGGTCAGGAGATGTCAAGAGGGTCCTACTGGCTCCGTCAAACCATGTACTCCTGGTATCTCCTGGTTCCAAATCATAAATCTCCCAGCCTCGAGGAGGCCAATGATGCTAGCAATCACCTTTCTGCAGCCGGCCACTCAAGGCGGCAAGCCATCAATTCAAGTTCCAGTTCCACTGGAGAGCTTTGATAAACACCCACATGCAAAACAAAAAAAGAACTAATGTTCATCAATGCTCTTGGACTTTCTGCTAGAAGCATTTAACCGTCCGACCCGGCCTTGGCCAAGGACAGTGCCGGAGACCAGTGGTCGCTCAACAAATCCAATTCGATGGAGCCATGTCTCGGGTTGACGTGAGGGCACCAAACCTTGGTCTCGAAGTTGATCCTCGGAGGCCTCGCCAGTGGCCAGTGAGTGGCCGGAATGTGGGTCATGCTAGGTCATGCTAAGGTACTGGTTTTTCTGGTGCTTCAATGGGAGAGGTGGTTCAAAGCATGGGAACAGCATGCCAATTTGGAGATGTTTGGACCAGACCTGGTGTTTGATGAACTCATGCCAAAAAATGCAAGCACCTTCTTTACCCCATAGTCCCCATCCAGGTCTAAACTTTTCAAGAGAAGCCATGGGCATGCCATGGCCTAAAGGGATAATCCTCCGGAATCCGGATCTTCAGGCGGAACAAGCCGTTCTCATAGGGTGTGCCCATGGGGCCCTGAAACGTGGCGGACCAGGTGTCGCTGAGGGGTTCGATGTCTTCATCCTCCACCGGCGCCAAATCGAAGTTCCATCCAGCAAGGTCGAAGTCTCGTTGCTCCTTTCCTTGATGAATGGAAACGCAACTGAGGTTGTTTTTTTGTCTAGACTCAGCTCTGGAGGAATGTTTGAGAATGCTTGCGGGTCTGTCTTGTGTTTTCAAGTCAGGCAGGTTTCTATGATGTGGATTTGCCGCCAAGGAGAGTGGCTCTGGTGGCTTGATACCGCTTCCATACATCATCTTTGTCATCCAGTCAAATGAGAGTACTGGGTTGATTGCCGGTGACTGCGAGAAAATAGCTAAAACGACACAATGTGGCACGAGAGGCTTATGGGTAAGTGTCGCTTATGCACGAGAAGCTCCTGCCTGCCGTATAGTATTGGTATGATTGCTGCTACCTATACTAAAGAGGTATTATTACTGCTATTGGTATTGTCACTGCTCCTGCCATCTCCTGCCTGCTACCTATTGCTGATAAACATGTTGCAACTTTCCCAGACAGTCCTGACTCCCTTGCTAGGACCGACCGGATGAACCCATGCGTCCGACTATCATAGACCATCTGCGCTCAGAAAGCTGCGCTCAGGGTGCGAATCGGTGAAAATCCACCGTGCAAACGCAGCCATGAGTGCACTTTACCCGCATCACTCTTTCCCTCTAAAGAACCAACCAGCAACCTTTGGTCGAAAAGGTATAAAAACAGCACTGGCAACAGCTGCTGGGACAGGGGAACAACAACTGAAACCACACAATTTGCCTCTATTTATGCCGTGTTGTTTTATTGCACCCGCACTGCAAGAGCTGCCCCGCACCCAAAGAATGCAGAATGTCGAATGTCTTCATTATGTAATTGACATGTCGATCACTACTTGGTCACTACACTCAGACTCCCTACACACGGAAGTGGAGTTCACCCCCTGTTCGTAGAGGAAAGTAGTTTTCCTTTCGGGAACATGCCATCCACTTCCATGAGTCAGAATGTACTCACGATCGATTCCAAGGCTCTGAGCCGCTTGACCACCTGAGGATTCATCTGCCGCTTCACAAAGACCACCTGAAGGCCTCGGTCTGAGGTTTTGGCACCCGCGGGAACGCCAGGATGAAACCACAGAAAAGTGAGTCGAACATTAAGAAAGCACCCTGGACTTATCACAAAACCATCAAAACAAACGTTTAAAACACAAAACAAAAAAAACACTTGAACATCCAAAATCATTGCCAGCCATTGCGCTTCAAAGAGTATATATACTCGCAAACATGTGTATTATTGTTCGCGTTCCTACCAACGATGGTGTGCTACAGTCTGTGGTAGACTCTCCTTTCACATCTAATCTAATGCCTCATTTTGATGTGAGCAGAGCAAAGCGTCAAGGATTGTCTAGGTCTCTATTGAGTGGCTTGGGTCCACGGCCAATTCGTCTGCCAGCTTCTCCAGCTTCCCAAAATGTGGGAGCACACAGCCATTATGGGTCAACTTCACGTTTCCTGCCACCTGTCCAACTGCAATCCTGGATTCCAAACTTGGAGTTGATTGTGACAAATATGAGTAGTACAGTAGCTGTATGTATATGATGCATATGTCAACTAAAAGGAAAGGTGTTACCCCACGGCAAAAGCATGCAAAGTGCTGTGCGTGGGTGCTGTGTCAGTGTGTGTGAGTGTGTTGAGAGCTCTAGACTGGTATTGCAGTAACTAATCTTAAAGTGCTAATGCTCACCGTGCATCTCTGAAGCACAGCTCCGCGGAGCACTCATCTCAAGTGTGTGTGTGTGTGTGTCTTCAAAACGGTCTAACAAGAGCTGCCTGCTTCAGCCTCCTCCACCGTTTCTCTCCACAAAACTGACGTAAAACTCTTTCGTCTGTCATTCCGAGCTCGCAGAACGAACTGAGTCACTCCCCGTTCGGTCCCGCCCAAAATGGTGCACAAACTTCCGGCGCCCACCTTTCCAAACTTCCGGGCCACTTTCTCCCTGACCGCTTCCAGGCGTTCGGCCAAGGAAGTCACTTGCACTCGCGCTTCGTTGCCTGAAAAAAATCACCCAATGCTTGCACTCATGGAGACGCTGAGTAGTAGGACACACACACACACTCTCTCGATAGCTTGCGAAATGAAATCTCTCTTGGTGCTCTGACTCTGATCTTTTCACACCGCTGGCATCATGAGGATGAAAACATCTATATTAAAACCACCAGGATGACATGGCCGGACCAGGCGTAGGAGCTACCCGTTCCACTATTCGTTGATCTCTGAGGCAGAGCAACGTGTAACAAGCGATCGTGCACGGATGGGTCACACAGGGCCATCACGCAAATTGAAGCTGGGCTACCGGTCATGGTGGTCACGATCAACTCAAACCTCACCCAAAAGCACAGGGTTGGTTAAACAAAATGTAACTGTCCCTTGGAAAAACGACCCCCGGGTACCTAAAGCTCCATTCACTCCATTGATGTCCTGTTATGTATATATATATATCTTTATATTACATAGTTTATAACATAACTTTTTTTCCTCTCTCTCTATATATATAAACAATATATTTGTTCATATCTCGATAGAAATAACTACTGCAATGGAATCGCATTCCCCACATTCCAGTCGAAGAGCGGAAAGCTTCGACCAGCTGCCATCCAGTCCCGATCTGCTTGTGGGACCTCGAAGCTCTCGGTGGAGACATGGGCTGCAGAGCTGTCAGCAGCCCCTCTGGCATGGAATGCACCCGAAACAAAGAATGCCCCGCAGATGGCTGACGCGTTTGATCTCTTGCGCTTTTTCACTGGGTGAAAACCTTCCCCCAATCCATAGTTTGAGGTCAAACTACAATGGAACTACGGCAACTTTGTTTGGGGTTTGACAACATATCTATGGCATATTTGTATCTATTAAATAAATTATCATTCGGTAATGTGAGCATATGTGTGCGTGAGATGCCGACGGGCCTCGTGACTTGGCTTTCGCCGCCTCCCTCGCCTTCCTCGCTTCTTCAAAAGCGGCTTCGAGCTTTTCAGCATTCCCAATTGGCACCACTGCTGCGAAAGGAAGCCACTGCACGGCCTACAAAGGACCACATGTGATATATATATATATATTTAGAAGAAACATGAAGAAACACATACTGGCACCAACTGGAATAGGGAAACCCACGGTACCTGCAGCTGTTGTGATGTTATATTGATGGATTATTGATGTGGTAATATGATATAATATGGACGTGCCTTAAAATAGGCAGACCTCCCAACAACCCCTGGGAAAAGGGAAATAAACCAAAACCGAAACCCATTGGTGTTGGGATTCCCCCTTAAAATGCAAACCCTTACACACCCAGAACGTCCGAGTTTGAGTGCTTCCGTCATCTTCCGTGCTCAGAAAGTCCCTGTAGCCGTGCAAGTCCCTACACGAATGCCATTCGGCCAGTCCTCAATAGTCACGACTTGGCCCTCTCGTTGAACCAGCGAATCCAATTTCACAGTGCCATCAGTCTCGTCTACATTGATCAGAATGCCTGACTCCAAGCTTGGGTCAAATGATGGACTTGATAAAACAGGTTAAAACATGGGCTCCGAGCCCAATTTTGTCACAATTAGTCTCCCGTCGAATTTCAACTCAGCTCAGTGCCCTGACTGCCGCGCAGCTGTTCACAAGCACTTGACCAGCTGAGATTGGGATGGGCAGCCACCAGCTCACTGAAGTGCTCTTGATCTGAAATCACTGCGACTGCGCCTCCATGATACAGACCCTCCATTGAGGGAGGCGGCCAGGCAAGCCAAGCCAGGAGCTAGGCTAGTGTTGTCTGCTTTCTCGGGATATCTGAACTCATGGGTCAGCCTGAACAAATATACCGTCAAGGTTGATGCTTTCACTCAAAGAAACACTATGCCCAACAAGTGCTCTTGGACTTTTTAGGGCAAGGAGCTCTGAACACGTCGCGCGGGGATGATTCAAACACGTCTTCGGTAAAGGCTGATACAGTCAGTGAGCGGAATATGATTGGCTGAATTAATCGGAAAGCCCTCAAGGCTGCTGCGGTCAGGTGATGAGGAATCAACCAAACAGTTCCAATTTACATCCACGATCATCCACGGACTGTCAGGTGCTTTCTCAGGCAAACGCTTGTTCCATCTTGTTCCTACCTGAGCTGTCGGCGGGCCAAAGCGCGGACATTCCTCAACCTTGGGCACCATGACATTGTCAGCTCTTGAAGGTCAAGTAGCACACACAGGCTTACTCTACTTACTTCGGGTTTCGCTGCAAACCGCTGAGTTGGGAAGCAGCAAAGTTCTCCCTCACTCTCCGGGTGTCCGGCTCAATCTCCGAGTTGGGTTGCAGCGCCTCGACGGTCTCATCGACGGGGTGGCGCGAAATCGAATGGGCATGCAGGGAAAGGACAATATCGTGCCTTAGTCACACCTCGGCTCCTGGATGCCTTTCCCCCGGAAGAAGTCACGCCGAATTAAGCCAACTCCCGATGCGCAACCTGCCCACACCACATGCATTCGCATGCCAGGTGGGTTCTGCGACTGCAAAAGCATGGCGTGGAGTCTGGATTGCCTGAACACAATGGGGCCCATGGGTCAGCCAAATAGTTAATATTGTATCATGATTGTATCATGTATTATCCAAAAACCCAGCGGAATTCTGTTAGTCGAGCATGTGACCCTAAAGAAACACGGCTTTCCAATATTTCAGCATGGAATTCCCGTGATTTCATGGTCTTGGGAAGGACTTTGTCAGTCGCCAGTCGCCGGTATCAGCAGGAAGGAGTAGAATGGGCGAGAAACGAGGTCACTAACGTCACTAAGTAGAGTCAGCAAACGCATGTTGGTGAGGTTTGCATGATGTGCAACTCCCTAGGTCTCCTTCATAAACGCATACCAACATAGGTGTATAATACATCATTGAGATGAATACAAGTAGTTCCCGGGCAAGCCGGCGGCGGAAGTTTCCTATAAGAAGAAATTGACCTATAGGAGTGTCCACGTTCTCTCCAACATGCGCGTCCTCCAGTCAAACGCGCGCACTCCGGACTTTTGACCCACGGGATTCCACGTGTGTAAGGTGTGTGTGCCCCCTGCGAGAGATGACGCACATCCGGCCACCACAACTTGCCAAGGATGCGGTCCACATCGACACACACATCCCACCGTGGCATTCTTCAGTGGCGGCAAACCTTGCATATCACACATCGGACTGAATGGAATCCGAATTTGAATGTAAAATCTGTCTTGAACTCTGAGACTATGTATGATGAGTCTTGTATGATGAGGGGTGTATGACAAGTGATGAATGATGAGTGGTGTATGTTGAGTGGTGTATGACGAGTGGTGTCTTGACCAGCAGTTGAATGTCCTGTCCTGCATAACTGCAACCAAATACTATCAGTATGAACTGAACGTGCACGCCGTGAGAGATGACTCAGCAGCGAGAGATGACTCAGTCGCGAGAGATGACTCAGCCGCGAGAGATGGCTATAGCGAGAGGTGACTCAGCAGCGAGAGATGAATGAGCAGCGAGAGATGACTCCTCCGCGTACTACACTGTTCGCCAGTACAACTCTAGTTGTACTACGAAGTCGCCAGTCCTCAGCTTCTAGCTGCATAGATTGCTCCGCGTGCTGAAGTTGTACTACAATGTCGCCAGTTCTCATCGTCCGGCTTGCCAGATACTCCGCGTACTAAAGTTGTACTACAAAGTCGCCAGTTCTCAGCTTCCAGCTCTACAGATTGCTCCGCGTACTAAAGTTGTACTAGAAAGTTGCCAGTTCTCAGCTTCCAGCTGACAAATTGCTCCGCGTACTAAAGTTGTACTACAAAGTCGCCAGTTCTCAGCTTCCAGCTCTACAGATTGCTCCGCGTACTAAAGTTGAACTAGAAAGTTGCCAGTTCTCACCATCCAGCTCCACAGATACTCCGCGTAGTAAAGTTGTACTACAAAGTCGCCAGTTCTCCTCGTCCAGCTCGCCAGATACTCCGTGCACTAAAGTTGTACTACGAAGTCGCCAGTTCTCAGCTTCTAGCTGCACAGATTGCTCCGCGTACTAAAGTTGTACTACAAAGTCGCCAGTTCTCATCGTCCAGCTCGCCAGATACTCCGCGTACTAAAGTTGTACTACAAAGTCGTCAGTTCTCTGCTTCCAGCTCTACAGATTGCTCCACGTACTAAAGTTGTACTAGAAAGTCGCCAGTTCTCAGCTTCCAGCTCTACAGATTGCTCCGCGTACTAAAGTTGTACTAGAAAGTCGCCAGTTCTCAGCTTCCAGCTCTACAGATTGCTCCGCGTACTAAAGTTGTACTACACAGTCGCCAGTTCTCAGCTTCCAGCTCTACAGATTGCTCCGCGTACTAAAGTTGTACTAGAAAGTCGCCAGTTCTCA